TTGTGGTTGGTTCTGTATTGGCGCAAGAATATTGGATTCTTGAATCACCAATTTGTGTTCTGGTTATTGACAATAGTTTCTGAAAGTCTTCTAAGAACAGCGTTAAGTGTAGGGTAGTTAGACCTGGACATTGACAAGCCGCGTGAAAAGTTAACGCAAACCTTTTCCTTAGTCAAACTTTCTTCCTCGATCGCTGAATACTTTGTTCTTTGGATACTAGAACACGACTGGAGAACTCTATAACTCCTTCATTCTGTCTTAACATTGCATTTATTCCGCGGTCACTCGCATCTGTGAACCCTGCGAACTGCTTCCCTTACACAGGTGGTTTCAAAGTCCCTTGCTGGTGGCCTAAAAGCTGTTTAATGTGGTTGGATGTATTTTGAGAATACCTCACACAATACTCTGTACAGAAGTCAATTACCTCGTTGAAGTTTTTCACAGACCTATCGTGAACGATGCTCTTTCCAAAGACTGTCATATTTTCCTCTTCGATTTCGGGGGCTTAGCAGTCCTTATTCTCAATATTATCTCAAGTGCAGATTTTATTTGACTGCTGCCTAATTTATGTTTCAACAGCACAACACTGCTTTTAGCAATGCCACTTTGCCTTGGTGATACATATTTCTGACTCTAATAAGTTCTAACACGGCATTGACGTTTTTCACAGGATCACCTTCAGTTCGCCTGTATATGACTAGATCATCACCGCACGCTTTTTAAGTAGCAACTTCATTAGTCATCTGAATGTAAGGGATGCATCTGCCAATTCAAACGGCATGTGTTTAAACTGATATTGTTCCTGTCCGACGATGAGCTCTGTCGTATCTTCGTCTCCTTGTTTTACCAGTGTCCGCCATTATGCTGACCAGATACCTGAAAATAGTTTTACTCTTTTTTGGCGACCTAGGGCTTCTGCTTAGGTGAGAATGGAACAGGGTCTCAGTCCTGCCATACTGTTTGTCTGTCAGAAATAAACATAGAATCTGTACTTCCCACTGGCTTTTTTCACTTAAAGGACTGCAGAGTTACATGGGCTGACAGCTCCTCCAATAATGTCATCCTGTAACATCTTCACTTGTCGCTCAACTCCTCCCTCTAAATGACACGGAACTCTTCGTGCTGCAAATGGTGTCATTTCCAAATCATTCAATGAGATTTCATGCCTCACCTTGTCACAATAACCGAGAAGTCCCCATCTCCAGCGAACAGGTCATCGTATTCTCTAACTAACACTGTTCTACTCGTGTTTTCGATATACCCGAACCTGCTATTTCAGTGTTGTCATGCATGATAGATTCATATTTTTAATCACAGCCCTCTCATTTATGTCAAATATCGCCCTAACAGCCCGCAGAAAATCAACTTTAAGTACTTTTTGCCGTAACTGAGGCACAACAATAGGCCGAACACACACTTTGCGGCCCCGATGCGAAAACTGCAGTTTGATATGTCTGTAATTTTTAACACATGTCCGCCTACCTTTTGAACTGTCAGTGAACACAATCTGATGCTGACCCTGTTCCAGAGGTCTGTGTAATAACCACCAACTGGGGACACAGAAAAATAAATCCGGAGCGTCATTAGTATGTGGTGGTAGTAGTAGTAGTAGTAGTAATAGTAGTAGTAGTAGTAGTAGTAGTAGTAGTAGTAGTAGTAGTAGTAGTAGTAGTAGTAGTAGTAGAGGATCAAGGAAATTCGTGAATCGAATGGACCTCAAGAAATTTCACCGGTGACGACTAATTGATTGATATCTGCCGTCAGATACCAAAAGAGTCTCATAGTCAATTGGCTCTGTGAGCGGAGTAAATCATGGAGACCGTTGGCATGCATTTTCATGTAAATTTATGTTTATATGAAAATATAAATTATTATTATTATACAGTTGACCTGCTTTGACCAACTGTCATTACTGCCGAACCTCGATGAAGTCCAGAACAGATGTAATCACTATGCTCTCCTTTCAGCATCACTAGACTTAGAACGCTCAGTGAGAGTAAGGTAGTGAAACCAGGTAGTTAACACGTCGAAAAATTGTTGAATGAGGTGTATTGGTATTAAACACGAAACTTGATAAGTTTTAGTTTAGGTTTAGATTGGGGATAGTTTAAGGCTAGTTCTACATTATTAGAAGAATACTTAGGTTCTTTGGGGATAGAATATGGTTAGGGTAAGGGAAGTCCAGGGTAAGGGTTGATTCAGGAGACCAAACTTACCTTTCAGTTATGTGGCTATTTGCAAGGTAACTGGTGCTTTCACACCTTTTGCATATCAGAGGTCTAGCCTAGCCCCTCAGCCTCTCCACTTTGATGTTAATTTGGACACAACTAAGCACTCATGCAGATGCAGTTAACTTGCATATCATGTGCAGCCTATGTTTATACGGATTTAGGATGTCCTTGGCAGAAATTCAATTGAAGGTCACTTCAGTGTGAATATTACTTACGGCATACATATACATATGTATGAGTCTTTGCTTACCTTTTGCAAAGAATTTAATGATAATCTCCTGCAGCTTCTCCTTTGATATAGTAGTTTTGACTGATCGCTGTGAGAAGTGGATTTAGTATGCATTGTTACCGCATAATTACTGGAGACCACAAAAAATCTTTATAATAAATGCTTTGTTCCTCTACATTAATGAGCACTTTTAACGGCATGAGTGCTAACTCAATTTAGTTACATGTAACTAAGTATGCATACATATGCATCATAATATTGCTTCGCCTCCTTTTTGTTTCTAATCGAAGTTACACACTGTGAAATAAGTTCCCTAACAATACTCATTATTTGAAATATGGAGTGATGGTATAAAGGGCACTGCATTAAATTTATTTACGATTGTAACGTAGAATCCCCAGCTTACAATAATGCTGAAGTAAAACTAACAAATTCTGAACTTACACTTTCTGTAGTGAGTAAATTCTGAAATGATTTGATTTCCTGCATAAAACAGAATTCGGTGCTTTCTGTCGAATTCAGCTAAAAATAATTTTAATATAATTCTGAACTATGCGCCGATAATGCCGTTTCACGATAAATTAACATATATTGTGTGCCCACAATGAACGTAGTATGTAGTGAGATAATACTGGCAGTACCTAAGAATAGCACCGGACGCTTTAGTAATGCGGGCTGTGCTGAATCGGGTCTGAGGGAGCTCAAATGACGCTAAGAAACAAATCCAGTAGGCTCTGCACTACTTCTGGTAATTCCAAAAAATCACTGCTGGACTACAGCCATTAATACTGAGAAAAGGCATCGAGTATTATTTTATGCAAGAAATCAAACTATTTCAGAATTTACTCACTATTGAAAGTAAGCATTAGCTCAGAATTTGCGAGCTTCATTTCAACATAGTTGTAAGCTTGGGAACTTAAACCATAGTTTAACTACAGCTAATAGGTCGTCTTACTATTGCCTAGAAATCAATGTTTTCAACTACATTGTACCCCAATGTTCGACAAAACGTGAACCAGTATGGCAACAGTCTCTGTAGCTACAGATGCGCTAGATTGAATTTACATTAATAATCCTTCATATATTGTTACACTAGAAGACTATATAGGATGTACCAGTAAGAGGCAAGTGAAGCGTCTTCTTTCCCTTTTCCTTGCTTACACACCAATGGTTTCCACCGTGGATACAACTAAGGACTTGTTCTACCAGCAAGTGAGTGACCCAACAAGTTTATTTCATTATGTGAGGTCAGGCATCTACGCCCCAAAAAAACAAGAGTCGTTTACTATCGTGATACGAAGCCATTAAATCAGTCTAAAGTGAATGCACTCAGTTTTGTATGTAGTAGTCATTGAGAATCACACCAAAAATATCAGTTGCCGTCATACTTTACATACTGCTGAAAAACCTAATTGCAAAAGACAGGTCAGATTTCGTTCATATAGTGGTCGTATCGATCACATGATTGCTGCTTGAACAGTCACATGTACTGCAGGCCAGCAGTCACTGTGCTTTATTAGGACTACCACTGATTCACCTAACAGGATTTCTTTCAGACAACGTCTGGTATAGAGGGATTTTCCAGAAAACTTTATCAACAGTTGTCACTACTGTTCTAGCACAAAAGAAAGGTGCGTTCATTCACTCTACCACTTACGACATCCTAGAAACATCGTCAACTTATTTTCGTCTATGAATTAGAATAAAGCGAAAACAGTGGTTAGTGCATATGAATATAATAACATCATTTATTTCGTCAGCTTCTTATCAGCCGTGTACAACCAAAGGAGTTTATGTACAGAGTCATTTTAATGTATTTCTTAATCTAAAGATTAAAACTGAAGGACAGATTGCTAAAATCACTTTTAACCTGTTTTACACTATGTTATGATGATAATTGGTGATAGTACGTAGTAGTCATATAAAGTTCCATGAATTAACCAACAAGCTTTACCTACTAAAACTGCTGAACAATACTACGTGAGTACGTGAAATGAAATTAAACTATATAGGCACCACTCATTCTTCCCTCACACATATCTGTTTGTTTTTGGTATTTCAGATAAATCTAATTGTAACATTCCGGTACTAAAATCTAAGGTTTTAAAACATACAATCACCAAGTCAAAAGCATATTAGTGATTCCGGAAACCAGACTAGCAATATTTACTGCTTGTCACTTTGGTTTCCATCAGTGAATGTAACCATTCTTATGCGTAAAAGATTATATGGTACTCTCTTTCTTTAGATCATAAAGTTTCCATTCTGTTGAACAAAAGTAGAAAAAAAAAGTTTAAATCAACCAAACTAGTTCAAATTAAGGCATCATAACCAATTTTCTCTCATTTGTTGTGTGGTTATAGAATCACAGAAAATTGAATAAGCGAAACGCCAATGGAAGAAATCCAGTTTTTTTAACTGAATTATTGTATTCATTGCTTATTTTGATGTAAAAAAATAGTAAAGTAATAAAACAAAACTTAACAGTTATATTTTTCTTTCTCTCTCATAGATAACTAATGTAATTTCTAAAGGATAAAATGAACTTGAATTGTTTGTGGAGAAAAACTACTCACAGATTACAATTCCCTATCTTTTTACGTTCAGTTGTTAGTGTGATTTTCTTTGGAAGTGATCATTATTCACTACCACATTTACATGCCTTAGAAGAACGTCAACGGCAGTATAAAGACATTAAAATTGTATGTGTTGTCACAACATCAGAGAAAACACCTGTTGGATATCATTGTATCCAAAGTAAAATAGGTAAGAACAGTTGGATTTTTTCAAGTGTTGGTTTGTTGGGATTTGATTGGTTACAGGATTTTCATCATGAGCTGACATTAGTTAGAGAACCATTGGAAAACCTGCAAGGAGTACTGGACAGCTGTTTCGTCCTAGTTTGGTTGGGTTTTTTGTTGTCAACTTAAAACAAAGTCCTTTTTTAGAGTAGAAATAAATTTGTGTTTCATTTTAAGATTAAATTCATATGTGTAAGAGTAGAATTTGAACACTTAGAATATAATTTCAATATTAAATAAATTTAATTGATATAGTACACAGTGATACAGTTTTAATAACTGAATCGCGTTTCGAACACAATTTGTTTTGCCTGAACTTCTTCCTTTATTGGTGGTAGATATTCTCTTTTAAATGTCATAATAATATTATGTAAGTTAACTAGTTATAAGAAGTGGAGATTCTGAGAATTTATTGGTAGTTTAAAGGCTGACGGTATTGACGTTCACCAACAGTAAAAAGTATACTAACGCAAGATCTAATACCCATAACTTCTGTAGTATTCGTTCTGCGTAAGCCGAAGCAAAACACAATAATTGATCGTCCAAATTACGAGATATATTTCGGGACCAATTCGGAGTACGAGATGATTGCTTAGCTAGCTAGGGATCGTGCACGAACGAACGAACGAACGTGACACAACGGAGTACCAAATGGTGTGGATGCTTGACCGGAAGCCTTCAGCTAAACAAGTTGACTTAAACAGTGAGGGTCAGCATCCAATGTTCAGTGATGAGTGCTGTGGTCAATAATTTTGGGGAATTATTTACCGCTACAGTAGTCAAGATAGTAATAAAAAGACATATACAATGAGACTTATTAAACAAAGAGGTAATTAGAATAAAAGTCTTTGTGGCAATGTAAAGTACTACATCAAACATCCATACTTATCTTCAAAACCTTCACGTATGGATATTAGTAAGACATGCATTTCTAACCTAGCACGAAACATTTCAATCAAATAATCTAGGTATCATTCTCAATCCTAATTATGTTTAGTGTCATCTGCAGTGTGGTGGATTATTATATATACGGAATTGTGAATAACTGGTGTTTTGTCAGGTTTTAATAATCGATCTCTAACATCTCGTCATCCAGCTTTACTGGATCACCAATACAGATATCTTAATGAATTTTCCAATCTTGTAGAATCATTAAACAATTCCCCTTTTTATTTTAAGCTACAAATATTTGTTATTTTCTCAGCACTACTTTTGACCACTAACGTAAATAGATGCAGGAGCTTGCTTCTCTTAAATAATGATAAGATGATAATGATAATGTAACGTTACACGGAAGTGTATCATGGAAAAAATAATTAAATTAGGATGCTCGGGATGTGGACTATGATTGATAATTAAATAAATCTGTGGTATTGTGTGAATGAATTTAATAGTCTCCAGCAATTGATGTCAGCCTAAATAGTTAAATATACTTCCTAATGAATCGTAGTAGTGATCTAATTGGGTGTGAGTTGTGAAATGATGTTGGTTCTGGATCCTCATAGCGCTTCTCTTCTCTATCTCCGGAAAATTCTCTATTTTTAGCTAAAATGTGTTCTGTATTTGAAATAAAATATTTGCTCTTTAAAACTGTAACATCCAGATATCATGAGACCTGCAGTGAGTAACAGCAAGTTACGAGATTTTTGTCTTTAGGCTATGAGTTAGTTAATCAAATTCACCCGAAAGCGGGCTATGAGCCAAATCTATTATGTGAGGTTTAATCACACTACCTAGTTGTCCGGGCTGAGGTAGGCTGGGTGAAATTCGAACTGAGCACTCATTAATTAGGAATCTTAGTGCTTAAGTCAATGAACTATATTTTTATCCAGATCATAAGCATATATATGTATAATCTGAATAACAAAACAGTTAATACATCTTGAGCAGTAATCATTTTGTCCAAAATATGATATGCTTTATCTCACTGATAAAATTGTTATCAGTAATATCCTCTTATGCGTCGATGGCATAGCGGTTAGGACGCTCACCGACCATGCAAATGGTCCGGGGTTCGATCCCCGGCCACAGACGCACTCCTTTACTTCGGTAAGCCAGAAATAATGCTGGTGAAGAGGAAACGTTGGGCATGAGACTAGCAACCCCATCCTGTAAAATAAACATTGCTACAGAAACTTCAAGCCACTAGCTTGAAGCCCTATGTTCCACTGGGGAACGTGAAGGAAGGAAAAAAATATCCTCTTAGGTTCCAAGTGGAGCATAGGGCTTCAGCAGTGCATCTCCATTTCAAACTGTTCTCTCCAATCTTTTTCTAGTCAACTCCACAATCGCTCATAAGCTTCTCCTTCTTCTCAACACGATCTTCACCATGTCACCGTCCGACCAACGCACAGCTTGTCGTTCCCCGTTCGCGTTCCACTTGGAAGGTGTGGCGCACGATATCATTCAACAGTAGCCTCAGCGTGTGTCCGATCCATCTTCATTTTTTTCTGCATATTTGTTGGATAACAGATTTCTAGTTGATTCGTTGCTAGAATTCCTAATTTCTTATCCTTTCTGGCCTTCTGATGTTGAGTATGGAGCGAAGGCAGGTGTGCGCTTTGAGTCTCTGAACCATATAGAAGCACTTACTTGACATTAGGTGTTAAAGACCCGGATTTTGTCCCTTATGCTGAATGCAGTAGAATTCTACATTGATTTCCGTTTAATAAAAGCCCGCCTTGCCTTACTGGTCCTGGCTTTGACATCTTCATATATGCCTCTTGTAGTTGAGACGATGCTGCTAGCATAAGTGAAACGAGTGACTTCCTTCAAATTTCTCCTGTTGATGATGACTGGTGCTTGGTGTTGCTGTTGTTGTTGTTGTGATGATGATGTTGGTGGTAGTTAGGTATCCTTATCACCTCTCTCTCCTCTCTATGTTCACTTGAAATCCTGTTTTCTCTGCGTCTTCTACTAACTTGTTGGCTTTTGCTTGTAGATCTTCGAGTTTGTGTGTATCATTAGATATAAATCATTTGTGAAGTGATGAATCAACTCACTAAGCATACTATACTACTGTTTGATTGCCTATTATGCATTATTTCTTTTTTAATAAACAATCCATTAGATATTTTATTGAAACCTGTTATTAGAACAAGACATATAAGCGAACAATGTTGTTGTTTTCAATTAGATCTTCTTCAGTCTTTACTCTAATTTACATAGACTTATATGATAAAATTTTAACCAATGACGGTGATTTGGGGAATCAAATAATAATAATAATAATGTGGTAAATGTTTTGAACGAAATTAATAACAATGATTATAATGAAGTCTTACATCTGAGATTATCGAGAGCGATAAAATGGACTTATACTGCCGCCAACCTTTGTTTGTCATTTTCCAGCCGACCAATTTTGATTGCTCAAGTGAAAGATAAGCTACCCATCTGTGTCACTTAGATGTGTATCTATAAATTTAGTTGCTCCTGTGGAGAAAGCTACGTAGGGCGAACAACTAGACAGCTTAACAAACGCATTAATGCGCATCTTCCTTCGTGGTTCGGAAAAGGTCAAATAAAATCCATATGAAGTTCTATTTTGGCTCATTTGATTGATAGTGGTCACCAAGTGGACAAAAACAGTGCTTTCAAAGTTATCTATCGTATTCCATCGAGTCTTTCGAACGGAATCAGAACCCGTCTTTTACACCTAGCCAGCCGAAGCTATGGGAATTCGAGAGAACAATCCTAGTCTTTGCATACAAAAGAAGTTTGTTCTACCTTTGTCTCTCCCTTGGCCTAGGTGAATTCTATTCAAAACCCTCCCACCCTTTCTTATTTTCCATCTCCTTCGTACTTTTATAATATTTATTTAAACTCTGATTATCGTTCCACTTCACCTTTTAAGATTTGACTTAATTTATTTATACACTTATATACATATACTATCTTTGTTATTCTTATCACCTGCATAAACCTTATTATCAATATTTTGTTATCATTATAATCATCGTTATTAATTTCGTTCGAAACATTTACTTTATTATTATTATTTTTATTATTATTATTAGATTCCCCAAATCACCGTCATTGGTTAAAATTTTATATATAAATCTATGTAAATTAGAGTAAAGCCTGAAGAAGATCTAAATGAAAACAGCAATATTGTTCGCTTATATGTCTTGCTCTAATATTATAAATGGGAATATTTAAAGATTTGAAACCTGTTATGTTTATAAAAAGAACTATGAATGAAAGATAATAGAATTTCAGTTAAAAATATAGATTAGATTTTCTCACAGAACATTATCTGTTCAAACCCATATACAAGGCTATGAGCTACACTTATTATGTGAAGGCTAACAGTGCTATCCAATTGCACAAGTTGAATTAGATGGTCAGAGACTCAAGTCTGTAACCTACTGGCTAAAAGGTGCGAAGGTGCACTGACGACCAACTCGCCGCTTCCCTTTCGGATTCCACTCAAGGGCTTGTCTAGTGATGTCATTTGATGGTTTCCTCAGAGTATGGCCAACCCATCTCCATTTCTTCCTGCCTATTTTTTTCACAATTGGTTCGTGGTTGGTTCGCTCCCAGAGATCCCAGCGTGTTGGTTATCTTTTGTGGCCATCTGATCTTCAGTACTGAGCGAAGACAACTGTTAATGAATGTCTGTAGTTTGTTTGAGGTTCTCTTTATGACGCGCCAAGTCTCTGATCCGTATGGTAGCCCTGACTTCACATTGGAGTTGAAAATCCGGATCTTATTTTTCATGCTGAGTGCTGTTGATCTATCTCCACGCAGACTTGAGAGTAGTGAAAGCTTGTCTTGCTTTCCCGATTCTTGCTTTGATATCGTCGTCAGTTCCGTTCTCCTGTAGTTGAAACGATGCTTCCCAGGTAGGTAAAAGAGGTTCTTTCTTTCAGGTTCCTCCCATTTATGCTAATCGTTGTCTGTTGTTCTTGTGCAGGAATCTTCATCACCTCTGTTTTATCTATGTTCACCTGAATTCCTATCTACTCTGGATGCTTCTTCTGACAACTTGTTGCTTTTCGCTTGCATATCTTCCAGTTTGTGGGAAATCAGACATATATCATCGGTGAAGTCCAGGTCCTCCAAGTTTTTTGTGTGAGTCCATTTTATGCCTGTTTCCTCATTGCCACTGTTTGTCGCATTATCCAATCTACTGCAATCAGGAAAATCATTGGTGATAGTAGGCAGCCAGCTTTTCTTACTCCTGTCCTCACTTCGAAGGATTCCGTAAGTTTCCCGTTGTAGATTACTTGGCATGCAACATTACATCTGCTTATCATTTAGTTTATGGATGTTATGAGGTAGAGAGAGAGAAAGCGTCCATTTAGGATTTCTATTTTCTCTTCTTCACCAAATAGATCATGTAATTTGGCCGCGTACAATTTCAAACACTTCAATTATCGTCGATTGTATCAATCAACGTATCAATGCAATAAAAAACCAGTCTTCAGATCAATCAGATAAATTATTGGGTATCATTGTTTCATTTGGTCGATTTCTACCTGCATCACTATTATCTTTATTCAATTATGGTTGTTACAATATACATCCTTCATTATTACCACGTTGGAAAGGTCCTACTCCATTATTATACACTTTATTATCTAGAGATAAAGTTACTGGAATTACTTTAATTCGCTTAGATCCAAATCATACAACATTTGATTCTGGTTCAGTTGTATATCAACAATCTATTCGTTTACCGTATAATAAAAATGTATTTTTAACACCTGAACAATTGATTGTATACTTAATTCCTCATAGTATTAAAGCTATGTTTGAGGTAAATTTCATTTACTGTTTATTGTTTCACCTATCCAACACAATGTTTGCTATATGTCTTTATCATTTCTAAGCGTTTTAATCCATTTCTTGTGTCCTTATTGGCAAATAGGACTTTAAGCTTTCTAAGTTTCCGTAGCAGTGATGTTGTATTTACGAGGTAGGATTCTTAGTCTCAAGCTGAATCTTGCCCCTTTTCTGGGCTTACCACAGGCGAGTTTTGCAAGTGTCGGCCATGAAAGTATTTGGCAAGCATTCATTCTACCATGGAACTACGGCTTTATAAAGCGCTTCCTCCCAGGGAGTCGAACCCAGGTCGCGTAGATGACAACCAGGTGTTTTTTGTTCAACTAATCAAATAATGTGCGTCGGTGGCACAGCGGTAGAATGCTCACCGACCACACAGGTAGTCCGGGGTTCAATCCCCAGCCACAGACGCACTCCTTTACCTCGGTAAGCCAGTAATAAGACTGGTAAAGACGGAAGGTTGGGTATGAGGCTAGCAATCCCATCGTGTAAAAATAATCACCACTGCTACAGAAACTTCAAGCCTCTAGCTTGAAGCCCTCTATGTTCTACTGGGAACGTAAAGGAATAAAAAAAACCAAATAGTGCAATTCACCTACTCGATACATATTTTGTTTCAATTCTTGGCTGTACGTGGTAATTAATATGTGTAAGCTATTAATTACTATCTTACTGTTCAGACTGGATGTAGTCTGAATGCAGTGTGAACGTAGGATCTACTAGTTCAGAGTCAAGCATTTAAGTTAATGAGCTACAAATCTACTCATTGTACACTACGTATTTATCTCCTTTGAGTAATACATTATTTAATGTAGAGGAAAGCCATAGATACGATATATATAGCATATTGATTGGCAAATTACCATTGTTTATTCATATAGCCTCCAAAGCCTCAGGATAATCGGGGGTGGGTGCCTTGCGCTGCGGGTTGGCCACCCCTCCGCACACCTCTTGAAATCCTCCCATATGACCTGGCGTCTTACATAGCCTCTCCTGAGGAAGTCCTACTCACTGCCTTCACGTGGCGGAGGTGTTTTTCACCAAAGTGAGAGGGCGAAAGCGGATGCCCGGCGCTCTTCACCGGGTTGACTGTCCATTGGATGACGGTCTAGGGGAGATGGCTAAACCCTGATTCCAAACCTCCAATGACTGGCGTATGAAGCTCACTGGAGCTCACCGGCAGACGTATGGACAAAGGGCTTGTTGGATGTCTGGCCCCATTCAAAAGGCGTATGAACCGAACTCCGGTCACCGACTGCCAATGGATAGTGGACTCCCTACTCCACTCCTACTGCCTTGTAGGTCACACTTGATTGTGTAAAGGCTAGAGCTGCACTCTCAAACAAAAGGCCGAGCGATTCTGGGGACATTACTCGTACCAAATTCCCATGAAACTTCATGAACTCTCTCACAAACGTGGTACAGTCAAGGCTGATATGGAGTGCCTGGGGCTAAAAACCGTCTACGGACTCCGTCTGTGGAACAAGAATTGGATAACCCTGTCGCAAAACCTTGCATCAGATCGCCGTGCCTGGGCAGCGATGATTCGAGATGTTCATGAAGCCGGCTCATCCTCCCGTAGGAGATAGCCGAAGTAAAGTAAGTAAGTATATCACAATAGTGTTTCTCATGATTATCATTGTTGGAAAAGTGTTTACACAAAGTGGAGAAGTGTCAAACTAATAGTATATATGTAAAGTCTGTACACATAAAAAAAAAAAACAAAGAATTGTTTTCATTCTTTACATACCTAGTGAAACATCAGAGATTAAAAGTTTCAGTAACATGCGGTGTGGTTGCTAGCCTCATGCTCAACCCTCCATATTTTGCGAGCTTACTATCAACCAGTAACTTAAGCGAGTTTTTTTGTTGGATGGGGGGGGGGGTTGTCTGCCAGGAATCGAACTCGAACCACATATGCCTTTAGTGAACGGATTACCATTGAACTATCGACACATCAAGAAGAGGAAGAATGCCCTATAGTAATTCAACTTCTGATTGTGGGAATAACTGCCTTTAGATTCAAATATAAGTCAGAGGATTGAAGACTGGTCTACAGAACCACTTAAGAAATCTCAAAAATACTTATAAAAGCAATGATGTAGGATGTCAATAAATGTTTTATTTAGCGAAGAAAATTTTCTTTATCGACGAAATCATATTCAGAGGCTGTACAGTCGTATTTATACTTACAAAAATATGTAGTGGTCTTTTATTGAGTAATAGAGGGTGACATAATTAATATAATTACTCAGAAGTGGCTTTAGAAGTGAAAATTACAAGTTGTGAATTACGTGGTACTCAACGGAACAAAGATAGAAATTTGACAAGGTTAAAATTGCTATTGAGTCAGAATAAAGGTATTTGAGTGCCTGTTTAACAAGTGTGAAGAGGGTGTGAAAATATACAAAAGGAGCATATGAGAGTGATAATAGTGAATTAATTATTAAAGCAAAAGCAAACTAAAAGTAAGATTGAAAATTACAAAAAAGAAAAGAAAAAAGTCAAAATGTTTTTACAGGGAACGATTAGTGAGAAGGTTAAGACCAAGGTAGAATAAGAGACTGGACAAACTTTTTCTGTATACAGAGTTCAGGGTTGTATTGATGAATTGCCAGAGCCTCCGCCATACACATAAGCCGAAACCTGACGCCCTTTGTACCATTTGGCTTCATTTTGTAAATGATCTTGAAAGACGACTCTGATGGAGCTACGTGCCCTGAGTTCATCAAATGCTCAAGAATTGAGCTAGTAATTGTCTTGTCTCTGAAAATTATCCGGCATGGGTAGCAAAGGGATAGTACAATTTTAACCTTATCAAATTTCTATCTTTGTTCCGTTGAGTACCACGTAATTTACAACTTTTAATTTTCACTTCTAAAGCCACTTCTGAGTAATTATATCAAATTATGTCACCCCCTATCACTCAATAATAGACCACTATATATTTTTGTAAATGTTTTATTTGTCTCTCAGTTAATCGTGTCTATAACATCACTAATTCACATTGTGATCAATCATTATTATTATTATTATTATTATTATTATTGCTATTTTACTACCTTATAAGGTAGCATATATACGTGTATGTACTTGCGATAATTTATGCTTTAATTCATTCAACCATTTGTTATTCTAGTCTATTGTAATTGATTGAAAAAAAATTGCTTTCACATAAGATAATTTTTCAATATATAACACTGACACATTGATTCTGATTGTACAATAAATAAGCTTCTCTAGACTCTTGAGTCGATGGTTTAGCGATAGAATATTTGTCAACCGCATAAGTGAGCCTGATTCAGTTTGCATGCAACACATACTAGAAAACCTCGCTTAGCTGATAGTAAGTCTGATAAAGAAGAAAGGCTGGGTGTGTGAGGCTAGCAGCCCCCCTCCCGATAAAAAAACACAACATCACCTCTATTGAAACCTCAGAGCTAAAAGTCTGAAGTCCTACGGTCCACTCGGAATATATGTGTAAAACTTGGGCACTGTGGTAGTAAGTAATTCCATATTAGTTTGTTTATTAGGTATATCACACAGTGAAACAGTATTATTTACTGGATGACACAGTTTCGAACAAAATTTATTGTTCATAATCATAGCATCAATTATAATCACACGACTTTGAAACTTGAGTTTCATAGTTTTCTTTGTCCTCTCCTATTTGTCGTCGTAGGGGTAGTAGAATTTTCCAGATATCTGGCTGGACAGGTGTTGAATCATTCCTATTACATGTATTTGCAGTTGATTCGATAAACACAGCTTCCGTTATCAATCTCTCCCTCCACCTTGTGACATTAGATTTTAAAACTCTCATCTTATCCCATCCTATTGTATGGTTGAGTGTAACTGCATGTAGTGCTATCTACGACTGAACTATCCTCTAGATTTCTTACTTATTCGGGTCAACCAATCTAGATTTTTTTAGGTTTTTATGTTCGGCTAGTCTGACTGCCCCTGTTTTACTACTTTGATCTATGTATTTGACCTGACAATCATTCCAGCAGCGTATGAGATAAACTAAATTGTTTTGTTTTAAAGGCTCCACAGGATTGATCCTTTAACCGATAAAGCTTGTTTCTAATTGACTTCGTGGGTTTTAAATGCCACTTTTATTCCTGTCTTGTTAAGAATTCTGCGTAAGGTTTCCGAGGTTCCTCCCTTGTATGGAATTACTACTGATGATTTAGATTCCTTATTGTTGGTGTTGTCTTGCGCATGTTTAACATGCATGTCGTCATTAATATTACTACTATTGTTACACTTCCCTACATACTTTCTGACTAATTTATCAGGGTAATTATTAAGTTTCAAGGCATCTCTTATATGTCTCACTTCCTGTCTTAGATTTTCCTTAGTACTACTTAGTTTTATGCTCTGTCACTTAAACATTTCACCAATCCTATTTTTATTGACATAGGTTGGGATGATCGGAAATCCAAATATCTGTTTGAAAACTCAAGTTTCAAAGTCGTGTGATTATAATTGATGCTATGCTTATGAACAATAAATTTTGTTCGAAACCTCGTCATCCAGTAAATAATACTGTTTCACTGTGTGATACATCCAATAAACAAACTAATATGGAGTCCACTCGGAATGTTCACTGTCAGCGTACTGCTTTCCAAATAACCAACCGCATTCCGTATAGACTCATTTAGAAGACTGCATTTTAATCTATGCATTCATTCGTTTCTTATATTTATGCATAGAATGACGTAAAATTGATTATATATATGTATATTTCTTGACCTTCTGAGTGGAATGTGTAAGGCTTCAAGGTTGAGCTTTGAAATTTTAACAGCTATGATGTTTCTTTTACCATATCCAACTTTCTGCCTTTACTGGGTCTGCTACTGGCTAAGCGAGGTTTAGGAGTGTGTCTGCCAGCCAGGAATTGAATCTCGATTACACAGCATATTCGACAAACATTCTACTATCTCTAAGCCACACCCATGCATTTGTGCATATTACCTACCATACACTTCTGATAAATTTACACGCTTAACTTTCTCTTAAAGGTTATTTTACATCCAAATTTACCATATTTAATTGGTATTGAACAATCAGTTATTTCTGAGAAGTTCCATATCCCTATAACGTATACACGTAAACCAAGAAATCAAGTTGGAGCAATTGATTGGAGGAGACAATCAGCTAAAGATATTATATGTTGTTGGTATGCATTACAAGGAAGTTCTATAAATTTATATACTGAATTGTATTTATCTAATATAAAAGTAGAAGATGAAAAAAGGGATGTAGATGGTTCGTTAATTGCACACTTTCGCCTATCTGAATGTCCTTTGTTGGTGCCAGACAGGGATTTCTTGTCCAAGAACAACAACAATGATGATTGTAATTATGACGACCACGATGATGTTGATGATGATGATAGTGAAAACATTAATGTATGCTATGCAAACTATGATCCTAAGGTTAGTTGGTAAAACTGTTGACTATTATGATCTTATTTACTTTTTCTTTTGTTTTTCTACAAGATTCGTTTTTAATTTAAAAGAAAGTTGCTTTTTTTCAACACCATTTGCAAAGATGTGTAATTGTAAATTCATAGGAAATTGAAAGAAAAAGTGACATATTCTTGATTGTGATATATATATATATATATATATATATATATATATATATATACTCAATAAACAAAATTAAGGCAGAATTGCAAACTACCACAGTGTCCAAGTTTTACACATACATTAATTTGAATTATGGTCTTTGTATTCGAAGATTGTCTGTCTGTCTGTTTTCGACATAGACCTTTGCACATATGTACGGCAGTTCAAGTCCCCACACTCCATGTAGCACACAAAGCAAGAGAAGAAAGTAGGAGAAATGCATAATAAAGACAGTAAACAGAGGTGTGAGACAAAGGAATAGTAATAACGGAGAACAAAAGTTTAATTGGAAATCATGAGTCACAAGGAGTGGATGCACCTGCGCCGGCCATTGAGAACGATTTTGAGCCATGTCACCAATTGTTTCCAACCATTGGTTTTTACCGTCCCGAGGACACCAACCAGGAAGCCAGTCTACGCCTTCCTACATGGCTCAGACTAACTGTTGTAGATTTCATTGACTGGTGCCATGTTTTGGTTTGACCGCCGCTAGCTCTTTTCCAGCCTGACCCTATATCAGCTAACATTGCCCGTCGACGAAGGCGATGACTAGGCATACGTAACACATGTCCTAACCATCTCAGTCGATGTAATTTCACAGTCTCGTCGACTGATTTCCCCGCCTTATCTAGCACTCGACGCCTAACCTCAATATTGCTCACCTTGTTATACCACTTCACGCGGGAGACAGAACGCAGACACCTATGATCGAAGACAGCTAATCTTTTCATGTCTTCTGCTCTCAATGGCCAGGTCTCACAGCCATAAAGGAGGACGGAGCGGACTGTTGAGCAGTACGCACGCCCTTTGGTCGATAGTCGGATATCGCGTCTACGCCAGAGACGGCGTAAACTGGCGTATGCGAACCTAGCCCTCTGTATTCGTGCTGATATTTCGTCAGAGATCAACCCGTTGGGGCTGATGGTACTTCCCAAGTAGGTGAAGCGGTCAACATGCTCTACCACTTCACTTCCTATTTCTAATCTAGGGGTCGGCTTAGTCCAATCCTACAACATCGTCTTACATTTTACAGGGGCGAATCGCATGCCAAACATACGAAGATCGCTGCTCAAGGTGTTCAGTAGACTCTGGATTTTGTCAGCGTCCTCGCCTAGAAGGACTATATCGTCTGCATATTCTAAGTCAACGAGATTATTGCCTGGTAGCAAATAAATCCCTGAGTCTCTGAAGTGAGTTAGGATTAAGTCCATTGGTACGTCTATGATGAAGTTGAATAGAAATGGGGATAGTGGGCATCCCTCGCTGACGGACGTCACTAGTCGTTACCACTTCAGATGACAAATCGCCGTAAGCCCTCACCTGGCTGCACGAGTACGAGTAGAGTGCCTTAATCAGTGCAATGTATTTTCTCGGCATTCCCTTTACAGCTAAGCATCATTCGAAGATTGAGCAATAAACTCACCATACATAGGTTCTTGATTGAGTGGGGATTATATTATTGATTATTAATCACGAGTTGACATCAATTAGAGAAACATTGGAAAGCCTAGAAGTATTGAACAGGATTTTTCGTCCTAGTTTGGAACTCTTCATCTGTTCGGACTCAGGCTCTGGTTATATAGCAAGCCGATGCAACGTAGAAGCATGAATGGGATATATGAGATGAACGTTTCTGTAGTATTTCATACCCGCAATTACTGTTTCCCTTCCCCCTCACTGTGTAGCGAATGCATTAAACTAAACTTATACTATCTGGGTTTGAACCTCAGTGGGTGCGTACTGCCAAAGTGTCCCAAACTAGGAGGAAATAGCTATCCAGTACTCCCAGGTCTTCCAGTGTTTCTCTAACTAAAGTCAATTCTTAACCGAACTTGTAACCAGTTAAATCTCTGTAAGCCGTCAACAGTTGATAATTATATTGTTATTATTTTCATACAGTGATTCCCTTATATAAATTTGAACAAACAAAGCAGAAACATTGGCGCAGAATAATCTGCATCCATTTTATTTCGTCGGTTCTCATCAGCTGCGTACAACTTGAATTCTTTAATAAAATAAAAAAGTGTACAATTTTAACAAAATTTTGTCCACTAGCAAGCATATTGTCAGAGCGTCATAGTGAAATAAGGCGTTGCGACTTACAAAGTGTCTAAAGTGTTACGACATATATATATAAATCTTGTTAGAGAGAAGTTTCTTGAAAAAAATTAATTAACAGTTGTGTTGTTATGGTGGTAACCAAAGAAAATAAGTAATAGTTACGTAATTAGATAAGGGAGGATCAAAATTCCGGTGCACATGAGGCCAGATGAGAGGTTGATGATGTAATCCAATGAGCAGAACTCAGAAGATCAAGAAAAATTATCTCTTAAGAGAGTCAAGCGAAAAATAAAGGGCGGGGGAGTGAAAAGATAAGTTAACAAAATTAGAAAACAAAGAGTTACTAAGACTTGAGTCACCAGGGTAATTGAAGTCCAACAACGGATTCTTTTTGGACACATAAGTCAGCCTTCAATCGTTTTATTGCTATAGCTTCAGCAAACCTGAGAAGACTTGAGGTACTTTGTCTGTTAATTATTTTGAATGAATCCAGCACATCTACTTGGTGTTTGGCGATTGAACAGCTTAAAGAATTCGGTGCCTTTAACCGGAAGCTTCTTTGGACATGTTCGCAGTATCTGACGTAGGCCCTTATTTCTGTTCTTCCGATGTGACTGCTCCCGTGGATACATATGAATTGGTGTATACAATTGGAGGTAACATATGAGGGGTGTTTGTCGATTTTTGACTGCACCAAGGAAGAAGATGTTCGGAGTAGAGAGACTAGTTTTACTGCAGCGACTAGCAACTTATAAATCAGATAAACTCAACTCAACAGTGATACTGAACAGATCAGATGACCTGGTAAATAGGACCATATAAGGAAATTTTTTTAAAAAAAGCAGTAGACACCGTCATGAATAAAGTTAAGGAATCCATAACGTACCTTGTACACCGATTATTCAGCAAATAATACTGTTTCAGTGTGTTATATATCCTATTGTAAGGAAGAAAAGACCGATGAGGCTCGAAGGAGTGTTTGTTAGGACAAACCCATTGTAGGTACTTATATTTGGTATACCATATCTCCAATGCTTTATTTGCATATCATTCGTAAATTGGTCGAATATCACCACATTCGATAGCTTGTTGCATTCTGCACAGTATTTCTAACATTCTTCTTACAGTTCTGTTCTTCGATTGCTTTGTTCAGTGTCCGAAACATATTGTTGCTTTTCTGAACTTGTTTATTGATATACTACTTATATCTGATTATAAGTAGCACTCACTACGTATAAACAAATTAATATGGAATTCTTCTTACAAACACGAACAGAAATATGTGTTTCAGTTAATTGAACAAATTTCTTTATCATTTAATTGATTATCATTACATAAATCTACGTGACTGATACAGTACAATGAATATCGCAATAAAATGTATCTCATTATTCTCTATACATTTGCAGTAGATTTAGACTGGAAAATATTAAACTGAACTATGTAAGCGTCTAGCAAAAGTTTATGGAGTCATTCATTCATTGTCTATTGGTATGAACCATGTGTAGACCTTTTAGTCATGTGATAGTCTGTAAAGGATATTTTTTAGACATGGCATGTAATCAATCACCACAAACAGGCAGATACATATTTTGGGCATACTATACCACATAGTTTTTCAAAATCTCATCACTATGTATTCAGAACAAAATATTTAGAGCGAACAATTGTTTTCAATAAATTCTTCTTCGGGCTCTACAATTATAAATCCATTAATTTAAGCATACAAAATTTAAGCATACAGAAAATTGTGAAAGGAATTTATAGTGTTAATGGAGGATTTGTTGGCTTTATTGTAGGCAATTGTAGAGCATCTCTTTGCATAGAGAAGAAGTATGTTCAACCACTATGTTTACCTTGGCCTACAATAAAGCCAACAAATCCTCCATTAACACTATAAATTCCTTTCACAATTTTCTTTTCTTCTTCTTCTATTCCTCTGTTTCATTGACAATCGTTCATTTTCGACTTTTATGATTTCATGACCTTTCTTATGATTTTATTACCTTAGGTTTAAGTAGTGCTTTTCTAACTTGCTATCGTATTCACAAAATCCTGTTCATTCCACTTCATTATATTCATTATTGTTATTTGACAATCATTCACCAATAGTGCTTGTAATTTTACACCATATCATCGTTATTATTTTACAATCATTCTTACTGTCGTTATTTTCAATCTTGAACTTATGTTTAGTCCGCCCCATTCGTTGGTTTATCTTCATATTGTCTCACACACCCTGATTACACACACTCTCGAAACCTGTATTTTCTGTTGACTATATATATATATATATATATACATCATTAAATTAAATTACTGCATCTGATTTTGTCCCATGTTCTCATTCACCATGCATATTAAAAAACTATCTGACTATTGTTCCATCCCATCTTGTACTTGTTCCACAATACACTTTCTGATATGATTCTAATTTGCCTTTACTGACTGGCTATTGTATGCTTAAATTAATGGATTTATAATTGTAGAGCCTGAAGAAGAATTTATTGAAAACAATTGTTCGCTCTAAATATTTTGTTCTGAATTAATTATGGGAATATTCAATTTACCTTTATGTATCTTCAATTTTCTCATTAGCTTCTCGTTTTTACTAATTGGCTTCCTCAAGTTAGATCATTGATTTACACTAGCGGGGGGGGGGCGGAGTATTGAACAGCTGTTTCATCCTTGTGTTTGGAACTCTCCAGTGTTACGCACACATAAGCCCACGAGGGGTCGAGCCAACGACTATCGGGCTACTAGGTGAACTTGTTGACCACTGAGCCACTGAAATGTAGTTGAATGACTCATGAATTCTGAATTCTGCTCTCAGCAGTTACACTAACTAACAAAGACTCCTGGAGCGAAGTTTACCTGCCTATGTACAATAGTATATGTAAAATACATTACATGATTTTTTTAATATTTTGAATTATATCAATATATTGCTTATTGATTCAGTTATCAATAAGATTTCGATCAGCTGTTCACAGGTTTTAATCCCATTGCTGAAGTCTAGAGATAGCTAATTAGTACCATTAGTCCTCAGAGACTCAATTTATAAGGGACAGTTGTTCTTCCCCAGAGACGCTACATAGTGTCCCCAAATTTTCTCTAGTAGCTGCAGTGAATGTGCCTTAAATAGTTTTGTCCTTTAGTTTCTGAGTGTTGGTCTTGAATCGCCGTCTACCTCCAGCTTCTTTGAAGGTTTCTAACTTAACCTTCAGGGTTCCTTGAGCTAGATAATGGCCTGAGTCCGTGTCTGCTCCTCTTCTCGATTTTGTGTCCAGCAGACTGCGTCACCACTTTCCTGAGATTGAGATAATGTTTATCTGATTTCCGATGTGTCCATCAGATGACACCTATGTCGCTTTCTATATATCATTGTACTTCTTCACGCTGTCTCCAATCACTGAAGTCACAGAAGTTTGCTAAGAGTTCACTGTTCTCATTCATTTCCCCGAAAACCTGTCGAGTTGTTTTTTTTAGCTGCGTTGTTTGCTCCCAGTTTGGCATTCATATCACCCATTAGCACTTTGATGTCGTTAGTTGGGGTTTTTTAGTCCATCACTGCTTGCAGTTTTCTGCAGAAGTCTTCCTTCTTCTCTTGATCTGCGTTTTTCTTAGGAAAGTAGCATTAGACGATTGTAACTTTCCTCCCTTTTGAATTCAATCGTGCTATCATTATCCGGAAGGAGACCGGTTCCCCATTGCTTAAGAGATTCAGATGCTGTTGGTGATATCACGACAGCCACTCCTTTTTCTTCAGTGTGCTTGTGGTTGGCGTCTGGATAAATAAAATAGATTATTGATTCTCCAGTTAACAATTTGGAGAGTCCATTTCCATTCCGTCTGCTCTGATATATTCCTAGCAATTCTACACCACATCTTCTAATTTCCCTCTCATACGAACGTAAATATTTGCAGATGTTCAATGTTTCAATAATAATAATAATCATTTATTTGTTTTAATTGTTATCTTTTTTGTTTTTGAAAAAAAATCTTTTATAGACAATGAATTACCTTAATGAAGCTTCAATTCTTCTCAACCAGCCTTATTCATCTTCATTACCGCCTGGAAGTGTTGTCTACTTACGTTCACAGATTGATTCAAAGCATCCACTTATACCATATGCTTTTATAGCTTGTAAACCGAATAATATTGACAAACAACAACAACAACAAATACAAGAAGACCATGAGTATTCTAAAGTATCATGGATAGCTGTTAAAAGTTTTTTAGTTAAATGGCCAAGTTCATCTATTGGTCGACATTTAACAGCTATTGATGTATACAATGGATATTTTATTAATTATACAGAAATGATGTCAAAATTACCATTTGTTGTTGTTGTCAAGGAAAAACAGCTAGGTGTACGTTATTTTGGACAATTTCAGTGCCTATCATCCTCTTCATTGTCCTTTTCAATTGCATCATTCATCAGTAATTGTACTGAGTGTAGTAATACTAGTAACCAGGGCAGTAAGGACACTGTATTGAATCCCTGGACAAAATTAACCCCGTCTATACTACCGAATAATTTACAATTATCTAGTAATATATCAAATATTGTACAAAATGTAAGTAATAAATAGTGTACTATACAATGCTGTTCATTTTGTTTTTTTTAATATTCTTACTTCAAAACTGATCAGTTCTACAATCTCAGTTTTGTGTCTCATAAGTTTGCGTAAAAGTGAAATGATGAGCAAATCTTGTGATTGATGGCGATGACGATGAGTCGAACCCAGATCTTAGTGTATTTTATCTAATTTTTTATTCCTTTACGTTCCCAGTGGAACATAGGTCGCCTTCAAGCTAGAGGCTTGAAGTTTCTGTAGTAGTGGTATTTATTTTTACAGGATGGAGTTACTAGCCTCATGCCCAACCTTTCCTCTTTACCAGCTTTTTTATTACTGGCTTAGCGAGGTTTGGGAGTGCGTCAGTGGCCGGTGATCGAACTCTGGACCGTGTGCATGGTCGGCGAGAGTCCTAACCACTGTGCCACCGACGCACGTATTTTACCTATAAATAAGAGAATTATGAAAAAAGACGGTTGCAACGAACGAAATTTTCTTTTCGACGAAGTCATCAACTAGGCTGTACATTCGTGTATTTATATTAAATGTGTGAGAAAGTTCCAGAATTATTTCCGGTCAGATTAATAAAATTACTAAGTGTAATAAACAGAAGATAGGCAGTGGCACTGTTCCAGAAATATTTCAGGCCAAAGGTCAAATTAAAATTCCAATGTGTAATAATCAGGAAGATCAGGTAGAAAAGACAAAATAGGATTTTAATTACTAGAAAACTCGTCAGTTTGTATAATTACAGGTTAAGGATGTAGTATTAACGAAATGGGTAGGAGGTTCAGACATATAAAGATAAAAACAGTAATCAAATCTAATAATGCAGATAGGGATTTAAAAAAGGTAAATGTAACAAATAAATAGGAAGGTGGAACAAGAAAGGTAATAGGATAATCATTATTGATGAGACTGACTTTTCATGATGGCCACGGTAGGGACAACGGTTGAACTTATTTCTTTCGGACACAGAATGGGCTTGAGTTTTTGGGTCACTAGCGCCTCAGCTATTCCTAGATGTCTTGATTTCACTCCTTTGATAGGTTTGATAGGATCTTGTATGTGACTTTGAAGGACTTCTCAAATGCAGATGTATGTCTAGAATTCACCAAATGTTCTTTTATCGAACTGTATACCCCTTTGCAAACCATGCTGGATAGTGTTCCTGAGCGCGTTTTACAAGCGGACGCATGGTACGGTCAATGTACTCAACTCCACACGAGCAAGTGAAGTTGTATATACATGTTGAAGTGGCCCAATGCGAAAGCTTGTATTTCACGTACTGAGTGAGTAGTTGCTTGCAGGAGAATGTTACTCGTAGGCTAGCAGCGAAGTGTGTTTCACTGGGAGACTTCGAAAGCCGTCTACGGAGAATTGCTACTTCGGTATCACTTTAAAATTCTAGGTTCAAAATCAGCATCTTTTCGGGGGCAACTTGGACCTTTTCAGGTGTTTTCCTTGGTTTCAGATTCTTGTCTATGGATCTGGGAAGGAAATCCATTTTCAATCAGTGTCCCTCAGAGATTTTTCAATTCTTCTTCGATTGATTCCTCCGTGCAAATCTTCCGGATCCTCAAGGAAAGAGAGTATATTAGGATTCTCTTTCTGCTTAGAGGCACACAACTTTGAAAGTTGATAAACTGTCAGTTCCATGTGGGCTTTTAGTAGATGGATCTTCTTAGCGAGTTGTCTGAATTCCTTCATAGCTGAACGTCGAGGAAATGGAACATTGAGTTAGACTCAACTTCCAAGGTGAAATCGATGTTTAGGTGGGCGTTATTGAAGATTTGAAGTAGGTTTTTTAGATCACAATTCTCATCATAAATAATGAAAGTATCGTTGATGTATCTGTTGTAGAGATAGAGGTCATCGATGAATCAGTTAACTGTGGCTTTATCCAATTTCGAAGGGAAAAGGGTTATAAAGCAGAAGTGTTGTAACAGCGGAACACAACAGTATATTTGGTTATCAGAATTTTTACCTAGGGAAGTGATATGCAGCTTTACCAAACTATAGAAATTTTTTACATTGCAATCTCCGTGTTGTACTTCTTCAGTCTTTCTATATTGTTTCACAAGGATCCTTCATAGTCTGTGTTTCGCATTTAGTCTGTCTTGCCACCATTCAAATATTCTTATAAAAGATAGTATACTACTTGAAAAAGTTTTCAGTAGCACAGTAGGTACTTCAGTCGTATTGTAACAATAGAAGACAAGGGCCAGGCAACAGATCGTTTATTAAGGAAATCAACACATATTAATAGCTTTTCATGTACATTATTAGAGATTATTGTTAACAGACAAACACAGTCTTCTGATTGGTTGTTTCTCACTGAAAGTTAATCTTTCATCTCTTTGTGGCTGTTTCTTGAATGTCAGATTATCTATCTGTAAATTGTATCCGCCTACGCAAAGTCTGCTGTGATTGGTTGTTGAGTCAGTCTTTGTTCTTATTTTTCTCATGACCAATATTGAGGACGTAAACATTGACGTAAATTACCATCTACCAATTTTGGCTAGCAGCCAGCTCTCACCACAGTATGTGTCAGGATGAAGTTAAAACACTGTATACACATTTTCCAATTTCATGATGAGCTGTAATTTTGGCCGGCATAGAGGTAACGGTGAAGGTTTCAAATAAATTTATGAAGATAATAACTAACATATATGCCTGTAACATGAACGAAAGGTATTTTCTGTTGTGGCGTGTGCTACTGACAAGATTTATAAGTAGTATACAAATGCAGATATAAATATGTGTATCATCTTCATGAATATCAAATAACAGAGAGAGACAGAGAGAGATGGATTAAAGGGCTCAGAGAAGAAATGAACAATACCTGGGAAACAATGACACTGAGGCAATGAAAGACTACTGAAAATATGTGCAAATAGTGATTCTACTATAATGGTTGACGTATTTTGCTTATATCTGTGTATCGCGTTTCCAATAAATAATTCCGTTACCATACACTCTCTTTGATTCTATCGTTACACTATTACAATAAACACTGTGTCTAAATGCTGTGCACTACTTCTCCATCTTTTGCCGCTTCTGACACACCCCTTCTGGTAAAACACAACTCCTTCTTTTAATTTCAAATGTAAGAGTTATATAAAGTACAGAGATGTGAAATTGTGACAACAGAAGGCAAAACATGGAAGCCGAGGTATATTTTACATTAGTCAAAACACTACTTATATATATATATATATATATATATATATATATATATATATATATACAGTTTTATATTCTTTAACCAATCACTGAGCGTGTGATTTTGGTTTACATTTAACGACATGAAATAGAATGTTCAAATATGTATATGTAGTATTCTGTTGCTAAATCAGTATTGAACTATGAGAATATATGAAAATAATAATCCGTTGGAACACATTGTCTGTATCACACCACCACACTCATTCACCCGTCAAAGACTTTCGACTAAAGTCGGTTCGGTCTTCTTGTTGCTGGAGGCTTTAGTTGCTTGTCTTGCTGTATCGAGTTCCGGAGGTCGCTGATGTTCACGCACTTCTCTTCGTTAGCATTTCTGATAGTATGTATGTGACTCCATCTCACGGTGACCGTGTATAGTCCTTCTCATTTTGGAAGCAGTTTGCATGCCCCTGGCTCGTATTCTCCGGTTTTTGGCCTCATACTATCATATGCTGTCTTCGCCCGACCTCCCAGCAGCGTTCCAAAACCAGAAGCCTGGATACGTTACGTTGATGATACATTTGTAATAATTAAAAGAAGTAATTTGGAATATACCCACAAGTTAATAAACAACATATCTGAAGACATCAAATTCTCAAGAGAAGAAGAATTAGATAACAAAATTCCAATTTTAGAAAGCGGAAAATGACTACTCACTGTCTGTAAACAAGAAGCCACTTTATATACGACTACAATTCAAGGGCGATGTACCAAGTGAGATAATTACGAGGAAATTAAGAAAATCAGTTCAAAGAACTTTTAATGCTGGCGAACTACAAGTCTTATTCTCCTCACGACCGATGGTGCTACCTCGACTGAAAGGTGAAGTACCTAGACCAACCCCTTCAAATTGTATCTACCAATTCAACTGCACTTGTGGAGCGAGTTATATTGGCCGTTGCTCTAGGAACTTGATTTTTCGTGCTCGAGAACATATCCCACTATGGTTAAGTAATGGTGTAGTGAAAACCATTAACAGTTCGATATTGGACCACCTGGTGCAAACCGGTCACAAAACCAGCGTGGGAGAATCCCTCTCTATTATCTACCGGGTGCCTAATAAATTGCCAAAATCGTCGAAGCACCGCATGCTCCAAACAGCAGAGGCTATTGCAATTCGCCTCAACACAACCAGTGCTCTGTGTTCAAAAGAAGCAAATCCAGCCCCTACTACTGCTCTGGCCTTCACTAGAAACTATAAACTCATGAATTTGTATTATTATCTTTCCTAATTCTTCTGACATTCAGCTTATTTTATGTAGATGCTATTGAGCTGTAATCTATCAATATTACTGATTCGATGTTATCTAAACAGCATTAATGTTGTTCATAACACTAATTCATTCATTCATTATAATGTATATATAACTGTAGAGCCTGATGAAGAAGGGGTTATCGAAAAGAGTACTCTTTGTTCCGTGTCCATTCTTTTGAAAATATAAGTATCTGTTGATTTTCTCAATAAGCGATCTGTTGCCTGGCTCTTGTCTTCTGTTGTTAGAATAGAATGTTCAAATATACATATATTATTCTGTTACTAATACAGTATTGAACTGTGTGAATATATGAGAATAATAATAATAATTCGTTGGGACATATACCACCAGAAAACAGAAGAGTCTTTTGTTTTAATTTTATACTTCTATTTTTTTTTTAATTGCCTAAAAATTCACTGAATCAAATACAATTATATCTATACCGATAAAATACATTGGTATAACACAAAATGTCTGTACAATGGATAAAATTAAAAAATTTTGATAATTAAGCCCAATAGAACAACAGAATAGCTGTTTCACACGTTGACTTCGCATTTCACTCAGTGTATACGGTTGTTTTTTTTCAAGACATTTTTGAAATTCCCATAAACTTAAATATAATAGAATAAAACCAGTGATAATAAAACTGATCCCGATTAAAGTTGTCTGTATCATTTGGATACGATTTAAGTAAAGTATATACACACTGAATTGATAGAATATACAACCAATAAATACGAAAATTAAAGCATAATTACGTGTTGCATAGGCTTCACATGAAAGCATACACTTGTACCATATTCTTAATGCAGAACACTTTAATTCAGATAAGTAGTCTTGCCATTCATTTAAGCCTTCTTCATTAATATACCTGAAATCTTCTTTTAATGATGGTTCTTCAAATGTAAAAGTTAACTGATCAACTTCAAACCAAAAACCAGTTGATGCAATTAACTGTGAGTAGATGAAAATTAAACAAAAACAAAAAAGAAAAGAAAAACAGAGCAGGTGATCAGTTAGAAAACTATTAAAGGAAGGAAGGAAAAAGTTGTGTGATTACCTTGATATGATTATGAGCAATAATTTGTGCTCGAAACGTGGTCATCAGTTAATAATACTGTGTAACACTGTATGATTTATCAAAATAAAATCTTATCCATAATGGAGTTACACTCTACTACAGTGCCCAAGTTTTATACTTATACTATTAAAAGTCACACTAGCGGCGTTTATAAAAAGTCAACGCATTCTGCTAATAGATAATTAGACTTTAACTGATCTAATCCGTTAACTGTTAAGGCAGGCTTAGTAGTTAAGTGTCTAACAAACCGAACAGCAGCACTAAGTAGTACAAGAAAAAACCTAAATGATGAAATAAAACAGAGAGAAGAGGTGTTAGTGTTAAATAACTATACTATAAAATTCATTAAGAATATGAAAAAAGGTCAAAAGCAAAATAAAAATAATGGTGAAACTAACAATGATAACATAAATAAGAAAGAATATAAGGCATCTGCAGTTATACAATATAAGGAGGGGACATCTCAGGCCCTATGTAGGACTCTGAATAAAGCAGGAATTAGAGTGGGATTTAAACCTACAAACTCACTCAGGGACAAACTCTGTAGCCTAAAGGACCCTGTTGGTTGACCCAATTAGACAAAATAGTTTAATTTACAAAATACCCTGCAATGACTGTGAGTTATGTCAACTGCATAGGTCAAACTAGTAGGTTAGAGGTAATCAGATTGTCGGAACATAAGAATTTAGCTCAGGCAAGAAGGGTTGACCCCGAGAAGATAAGTAATTTAGAAAAAAGCTCAGCAATCGCACTGCATGCATTAACACACAACCACACAATAGCATGGTAGGAGAGGGTTAAAATTCTAAAAGGTAACATAGGTGGGTGGAGAGCAAGAGAGGTTGATTACTGAATCTTTGTTCATCGAGTCTACACCCAACACATGCAATAGGAATGACTCAATGCAAATACCAGAAATATGGGAGATACTACTACCAATCAAATCAAGCGATGGAAAATAATGGCATTATATGAACGAAGTTCGAAAGTTGTGTGAGTATTACCTCGATATGATAATGAGCAGGCATAAATTGTGCTCGAAACGTCGTCATCAGTAAATATTACTGTATAACTTCACTGTGAGACTTTATCAAAATAAATTTTACCCATAATGGAATAAAACTCTACCATAGTGAACAAGTTTTATTCTTATATCGAAAACCAGAGAGTATTGGATAACTGTTTCAAGCTTGTTTAGATCTTCCTCATGATCATGAGTAAATACACCCATGATCCTATCAGACTTCAAATCCAAGACATTTGGGTTAAGAGGCAATCCTGTTGATCATTCGGCTACTGGAATCCTTTGCAGTGGCTCTTGGATTCTAATTTCATCCAATTCGTGATTACAATGAAATCAGTTGAAATTAATAAGGACGATAAAAAATCCGCCCCAAGTATTGTCCGCTGTAATTCGGGTACAACAATGAAGGGGAACGTTACCTCCCTGCAATCAATAACGACTCTACAGTTCGACCTACCCGTGAGGCGTAAAACATACCCGCCTACCGTTGGCCCTGTCAATGAACATGGGCTGACACTCTTACATAAGTTCTTATCTATTAGCTAAACAGCTGCCTCTGTATCTACTAAACATACCGCTTCTCGATCATTCACTAGCAACTTCGAATACAAAGCCCTTTTCTCACTATCCCCCACTACATCTAGTTTTATATGAGAGAAAGAACACACATTATACTGTCTGGAAACTTTTCGTTTCCGCCTTTCTGAACAGTATCTCCTCTAGTGTCGTGGCTGACCACATTCAAAACATCAGTGTTTCCTATCACTCATCCTTAACGCCGCCACTTCATGCTGTAACGCTTCAATTTTCTGCTCGCATTCGTTCAACTTTGGTGGCTTTACCGTGGCTATCGTTGTGCACAGCAGCTGTCTGGTTACCTTCAACAGCTCACTAATGTCCATCGATTGCACAGCGTTAACCAGTTGTAATAGCTGAGAAACGTGGTCTGGAACACTCTCGATGAATTGGGAGGTCAGTAGCTGTGCTTCTGATTCCTCATCCAAAGTGGGAAATAGACTCGTCAATTTCACTGCCAACACTAAAGGACCCCCATCAGGTCCCAGCTTCGTGGAACGGAACTGCTGCATTGCTAGCTGCCTGTCTGTTGCGCTGTCAAACTCTGTAACCAATCGTTCAACGAATGTCTTCCAAGACGCTGTGTCACCTGACCTGTTGACACTATCATATGCCGCCTTTGCTCGGCTTCACAACAGCGTCCCCAACACAACCACCTTCGCCGCCGGCTCCTCGATATCCACCAACTTGGCAACAGCCTCATAGTCCCGCAAGAAACTTTGTATGTCTCCCTCTTTAAACACAGTTGGCCATGGGATTTTCATTGTTCGGAGACAGTGGCACCATTTATAAAGACAGAAGACAAAGGCTAGAAAACAAATTGGTTTTTGAGAAAATCAGCACATATTTATTGATTTTTTTGTGCATTATTGTCAGCGGAGAAGAAACGTCCTCTGATTCGTCGTTTTCTTGCTCAAGGTTATTCTGTCATCTCTTTGTGGCCATTTCTCAGAAAGTCAGGCCATATATCTGCGAATCATATTTGCACACATTAAGTCTGCTGTGACCGGTTGGTGATTTTCTCTAGGTTAAGCTTTGTTATCGTTTTTCTCATGACCCTGATTCGGGATGCAAACATTGACGTGAATTGTTGTCTACAATTTTGGCTTGTTCGCAGCCATCTCTCACCACAACTTTAGTAAATAATAACCCTTATAACACTAAAACATACTTGATCTATTCATCAAGATACCATAAGTTGAATAGTAAAAGTTATAATGAAGACAAAATAACTTCAAAAGCATACCTACTTGTTTACGTATTTCTGGAGCACACTTTTTACATGTGGGAATGATTGAGTAATTGAATTTTCCTACGTAGATCCTAACACTAGTGCTCAGTAGTTCAACTTGCCATTAAGTTAGGGATAAATAAGAAATTATAATTTAAAAATACCATGGAGACTAAATGACAATTAATATACCTGTGAAATTACAAAGATTGAATTCATCTTCACTATTAACAGCGATAATCGATCATGTCACCAAAATCCTCTAACCATTGATTCTTGGCATCCTGAGAACCTCAATCAGGCAGTCTATAACTCTCTACATGACTCAAATTTACTGTGAAACACTTCTTGGATTGATGATGTGTTTTTGATTGACCATTCCCCTAACTCTCTTCCAATGTAGCCTTAGGTCGGCTGACATTGCTTGTGACTAGAAACAATCATTAGTTAATATTAGATCATATCCTCAAATGATCTAAATGACTAGGCATGTATATCACACATATCCCAGTCGTATCAATTGATAAGGCTTCACAGTGTTCTCGATCATCCCACCTTTCTCACCTAGATATCTTCCTACTTATTATTATTGTGCCCTTGGGTTCCTAGTGGAACATAGGGCTTCAACTGCACGTCCCCACTTGCTTCTGTCTTCTGCGCGTACCTCTGAAGAGTCCCAAACTAGAACGAAACAGCTGTCCAGTACTCCCAGGTTTTCCAATGATTCTCTAACCAATGTCAGCTAATGATGAAATCCTGTAACCAATCAACTAAATCCCTACAAACCAATACTTGAAAAGAATAGATGAATTTCTAATGAACACACATCAGAGTTCCAGGGAGAATAGAAAAAGCATCTCCTAGATGATGACTTGTATTCATTCTTATACCATAGTTGGATTAATGGTTCTATTAAGTCTAGACTGTGCGTCAGACTGTAGAGAATGAGAAGACAGGAATACTTTGGACCACCGATAAGAAGTCTCTAGAAGATCTGAATTTCTCAGGTGATATGTGTCTGATATCACACAAACTCGGAGACTTGCAGGCGAAAACCTACAGACTGACTGATGTGTGATATTGACCTACTTCATCACATAAGTGTAGAATTTGGGCGCTGTTGTAGAATATACTGCCATATTTAGGCAAGTTTATTTGCAATAACACACAGTGACTGATACAGCATTAATAACTGGATCACGTTTCGAGGACAATTCTTTTTGCCGATAATCTTATCACTGCATTCACGCGACTTCATCACTTGCTGTATGTAGCCTCCCTCCTTCTGTGATGAGAGCTGGCTGTGAACAAGCCAAATTGTAGACAACAGTTTACGTCAGTGTTACGTCCCGAATCAGGGTCATGAGAGAAACGACAACAAAGCTTAACCTAGAGAAAATCACCGACCAATCACGGAGGACTTAATGTGTGGAAATATGATTCGCAAATACAGGGCTTAATTTTCCGAGAAATGGCCACAAAGAGATGACAGAATAACGCTGAGGGAGAAAACAACCAGTCAGAGGACGTTTCTTCTCCTCTGACAGTAATGTACATAAAAATCAATAAATATCTGTTGATTTTCTCAAAAACCAATTTGTTTTCTAGCCTTTGTCTTCTGTCGTTACAATTCCTGTTTTTTTATTGCAATCCTTCCTAAATCCGATGTGGGTGTTTAATCGTCCTGATTGCTCATGTTTGGTGTTGACTCAATGAAGAAAGATTCGCCACCTAACTAACTATGTTACTTTGTAATGCTTTCACTTTTTCCTACACTGTGTGATTAGATGCAAGTGAATCCATTGCAATAGTCTCGCTTGTTTTCCAGACTGTTTAAATCATCAGGGTCAGTCATTTTAAGTCCAGCTAAATCCCAATATTCCGATAATTGACCTCATAATCATTCCATGGTATTCGGGACATTATATTGTCTTTTTTCAAGCATTAGTTTTTGTAGGGATTTTGTTTGATTTCATGGAGGATTTCATCACGAGCTGATATCAGTTAGAGAACCACTGGAAGGAGTCCTGGACAGCCAGCTGTCTCCTCCCTCTTAATTTGGGACTCTTCATGAGTACGCACTCACCGCCAGGGTTTGAACCCATGACCTCCTGGTTACAAGGCCAGCTAGCTCGTAGACCATTGAGCCACTGGGACCAGATCCATTGGCCAGTCAATGAATTCTAACTTCTGCCAATTCATGACATAAAGCGACCACATCGTAATGTCCTCTTCGATGAATTACTGTTTTTTGTTATTGTATTTCTTAATTAGAGTTGTCGTTTCCTCAAGTTGAGATATTCTGTTTCTTATTGAGTTGGTATATGGTATATGGTATTCCTATCGAGACTTTAAATTCTGTATTATTTATCTTAATTTCATTATTTACATTACTATTCTCATTCCCTCTATGGGTCTTCATACATTCTTCGGATAAATTTTGGTGGGTAGTTCTTTTATTAACAACACTTTCCTATTTGTTTGATTTCATTAAATGAGAAAATATGTATGATGTATGTATTTTAAAATATTTCCTCATAATTAACACAGAATTTGTTTTAGATTGTAAGTGATTCAAGAGAATTCATCAGATCACTTTTACAAAGATAGATTTCATTAAGAGTTGACATCAATTAAAGAATCATTGAAAATCAGAGAGTACTGTACATCTGTTTCAGCCCGATTGGGGATTCTTCAGCATTAAGCAGTCATAACTAAATCAGTAATCGATTTCAACACCATCAGGTAATGAGGTGAATAAGTTACTAGCCAGTCACTAGGGTGACTGACATCCAACATCTTATGACTTCTAACATTATTACTGATGCTCATTTGTCATAAAATCGATCCAATCTCTACAAACTACCGATTGATGATCACTTTTCAGTCATTATTCTTCTCCCGAGTTTATTGATCGTGTGATAAAATGTTTAGGCGAAAGGTTTATGTGTTTGTTTCTCAACTAATGCATCTCAAGTTTCAAATCTACTTCAATAAATTCAGGTATTTTTGATTGGACACTAGTCAGTAACTAGTGTAATGTGTCTAGTCCTATCTTCGATGCAGACTGTATTCTATCAGTCAAGCTTGTAATGTGGCCTCTTCATGCTAATTGGTTCGCCATTACGGTGCACTGTGAATTGTTGGTATTAGATGGTTAGAGGCAATCGGCCACAGGAAGCCTTGGACCTAGGTTTCGTGCTAGTTGGCACTCATCAGTCAGCAAGGCGTATCTGCAACCTCGAAGAAATTCATGTCTCACTTCAGGTATAAAAAAGTAAACACGCATCCGTTAACTGTTATGCGTCAGACAGTGGGAAACGAGAAGACAGGGATGTCCTGGACCGACATGAAGAATCTAGAAGACCCGGATTTCGTGGATGACTTATGTCTGATGTCACACAAAATCGAAGTTTTACAAGCGAAAACCGACAAACTGGTCGAAGAAGCAGCAAAGACAGGACTCCAGGTGAACATAGACAAGAAGGAGGTTATGAAAATAACCAACCAACAACAACAACAGCAGCAACATCCAGCGCCTATCACCATCAACGGGAGGGATTTGAAAGAGGTTACTTCATTCACTTATCTAGGGAGCATTGTCTCAACTACAGGAGGAACGGACGAGGATGTCAAATCGAGCGGGAATCGGGAAGGCGAGAAACACATTCATCAACCTGAAATCAATCTGGAAATCTTCGTCACTCAGCCTGCATTAACAACAAAATTCGGATTTTCAATACAAACGTCAAGTCAGTCAGTTCTTCTATACGGATCAGAAACTTGGCCAGTGTGTCACAAAGAATATTTCCAGTAGCCTGTTGCAGACCTTCATCAACAACTGTCTTCGCTGGCTCTATACTGAAGATCAGATGGCCGGAAAGAATCACCAACAAGAAACTATGGGAACAAACAAAACAAGAACCAATCGCCCAACGAATATGCAGGCGAAAGTGGAGATGGACTGGACACTCGCTGAGGAGGCCGTTGAGTGACATCGCGCGTCAGGCGATAGCTCGAGTGGAACCCGAAAAGGAAGCGGCGAGTGGGACGTTCAAGGGTGACATGGAGGAGATCGTGTGAAGAAGAGTTGAAACAGTATGGACTAACATGGATGCAGGTGAAAAGTACAGCAGAAGACAGAAGCAAGTGGAGACGTGTAAGTGAAGCCCTATGTTCCACTAGGAACCCAAGGGAACAATAATAATAATAATGCATCCATTAACTGTGATCAGTGATATCATATATTTTTAAAACAAATACTTTCAGTGATTTCTTGAACTCAGTGACTGAATGGTCTACGAACTCGCCCTATAGCCTGAAAGTCCTGGATTCAGACGTTGGTGGGCACGTGTTGCTGAAGAGTCCCAAACTAGGACGAAGCAACTCTCCAGTATACCTTGGCTTTCCAATATATTTCTAACTTTCAATAATCAATTAGGTCGAATTATTCAACCATAAAACTATACCAATATTTACCTTGAATGTATAATGAATATTTTGATATTCAGATATTGAAGAATTTACCACACGTAATTCTAATTCTTGTTTCATAAAATTCTCTGAAATGACTCCACATATGAACATTATTCCACCAAAAAAATATAAACATAAGAATGTACACAGTTTAACACGTTGTGTTATTGTTAGCATATTCCACCATTTTGTTTGAAATAATAATTTTCTTTTATGCAATTTATCTCTCTGTGTCATATCTGGCTGCCGTTTGTTTCTTTTTGTTTGTTTTTTTTTTTGATTGACTGCTGTATTCGTGAATCACGCAAAACAAAACCTTGAATATTGAATCTATGGCGGAAATGTTGATATTTATTCGCTCAAAGATGTTATACCTAGAACATAATACACGTGCTGGCTAAAATCAATAAATCACATGATACTTTTATAAAAATTACTGACACAGTTTAAAATATACGGATAAAAAGGCTTCATTCTTTATTACCTAAGATTAGGCGGTAAATTTTTATAAAGAAGGTGAAGATGGATATAACTCACGGAAATCTAGTCTTCTTTGTGATGCGAATCAAAATATTAATAGTTCATGTCTCCTTATGGGAAACATAAATTAAAATACTTCGAATCCACATAGCTTTCTATATATGGAAAACTAATAGATTCTCGACCCATGGATAAGGCTTCCAACCGTAAGTTAGATAAAAATACTGAAAAAAGGTTGAAAATAAACTCTGTAGAGTTGTCAGGAAATTCGTTATATGATTTGATCAGTTACAGAAACTTAGTGAGCTGGATTAAAGCAGATTGAGACTGCTTTTTAGCAAGTGTATTGAGATATTGCGTGGATTACTGATATTCACCCGTGGAGAAATTCGTTTACAGCTGAAGATCTTTGGGGAATATTCTGTCGAAGTTCTTGGATGAATGATCGAATGGAATCAACATAGTTCCTTTCATAATGTCCAAGTGACTTCGTGTTCAGTAATTCCATCGAAATGCTCTCCTGAAGCATTTTCGTGATTGGTAAAAGAGTCATCGAGAAAGGTGATCTTCGCGTTCACTACGGCAAGGTTGACAGAGTACTGTGAAAACCTATTGAGTCTCTTGACTGTTGAGGGGTTCTTGCTACTTTTTTAATTTTATGAATAATCCCCATCCAGGAACTGATGAAAAGAACAAAACAAGTAGTTCACGAAGGGGGGGCAGTATCGACAGTAAAAAAAATGATGGTTACGACAACTTATCACTGTTATCACTACCTTCATTCGTGAAAAATTGTACATAAGTGCAATCATACAGCTAAAGGAGGTGAATCCGCAGAAAAGAGTATCTCCACCGAACTACTAGTTTTGTTCTTTTCATTAAATTTTAAGATTTCGTTGATAAACTCATGAAGAACTGACCTGCTTCTTACCGAATCTTCAAAAATAAAGAAGTTCTATGCAGCTGTCAATCTAATCATGTTAATTACCGACGATGAAGGATAATGTCTGTATAGAATTATGAATGAGTAAACTTCGAAACTCTGAGTTGGTGGCACAGCGGTAGAATGCTCGCCAACCACGTAGGTGATTCGGGGCTCGATCCCCGGCCACAGACGCACTCCGTTACCTCACTAAGCTAGTAATGAGACTGGTAAGGAGGGAATTTCGGGCTGGGCATGAGGCTAGCAACTCCATCCCGTAAGAATAAACACCACTGCTACCGAAACTTCAAGCCTCTAGCTTGAAGCCCTATTTTCCACTGGGAACGTAAAGGAATAAAAAAATATTTGAAACTGGTCGACCGACTGATTCTAAATAACCAACTGGATAAATAACAAAAGAGTCAGTTGAGAACCAGTTACCCGGAATGGGTTTTTTCATGTGCTAGGCAATTATTATTATTATCCTCCTGGATTCACACTGAAGTGTGAAGTTTCAGTGCCTATTTTTCAACACTCATCTAAGTGACTTTGCTTTATGAGATTCAGTCATATAAAAGTCTGAGTTAAGGTTTATGAATTTTATGAAAACCTTTTCTGGAAGTAAGGATCAATACAGAAATATATCAGCTGCTGTAGTTCTACTCATTGCTTTAATATTTCTGTAAAAGATAGTAAGAAATAAATACTATTCTATAATTTTCAATGAGGAAACAGGCATAAAATGGACTCACACAAAAAACTTGGAGGATCTGGACTTCGCCGATGATATATGTCTGATTTCCCACAAACTGGAAGATATGCAAGTGAAAAGCAACAAGTTAGCAGAAGAAGCAACAAAGATAGGAGGGACTTCATGTGATTATAGAGAAAACAGAGGTGATGAAGATTCCTGGACAAGAACAACAACGACAGACAACAATCAGCATAAATGGGAGGAACCTGAAAGAAACAACCTCTTTTACCTATCCACCTACCTGGGAAGCACCGTTTCAACTACAGGCCGACGGAACTGACGAGGATATCAAAGCAAGAATCGGAAAAGCAAGACAAGCTTTCATTTCTATCAAGTCTGTGTGGAGGTCAACAGCATTCAGCGTGAAAAATAAGATCCGGATTTTCAACTCCAATGTGAAGTCAGTGCTACTCACTCTACGGATCAGAGACCTGCACTGCGCGTCATAAAGAGCATCTCAAACAAACTACAGACCTTCATTAACGGTTGTCTTCGCTCAATACCAGTCAAGATCAGATGGCCAGAGTTGATCAGCAACAGAGATCTCTGGCAATGAGCGAACCAACCCAGCAGGAACCGATTGTGAAACAAATAGGCAGGAAGAAATGGAGATGGATTGGCTGGCCATACTCTGAGGAAACAAAACATCAAGTGACATCACTAGACAAGCCATCGTTCGAGTGGAACCCGAAAGGGAAGCGGCAAGTTGATCGTCAGTGCAAGGGTGACTTGGAGGAGGTCATGTGAAGAGGAGATGAAAACGTGTGGGCAGACATGGAGCCAGGTGAAGACTCTAGCAGAGAACCGAACGCAATGGAGATGCACGGGTGAAGCCCTATGTTCCTCTAGAAATTAAAGGAAACAATAATATAATAATATATGATTTTCGAGTACAGGGAGGTATTAAACTAGGTTGAAAATGCTCAAAATCCGTATCTATAGAAATTGTATCGGGTGATTTCATTGAGCAATGGGAATCATTTTCTTAATTTTACCATATGCTCAGAGAACACAGACACAAAACCTTTCAGGTGGTTTATCATTGTTTGTGATGATATTAGATGGTTGGAGGCAATCGGCAGGAAGCCTTGGACCTAGGTTTCGTGCTAGTTGGCACTCTTCAGCAAGGCGTATCTTCAACCTTGAAGGAACTTATCATTGTTTCGGACAAGTTAACGAATAGTGGTCCAGGAGGGTAAACGCTCCAGTTACCTTGAATGCATACTGTTCGCTGGATAACAAGGCCTACAGTTATTATGGCGCCTCTGTGACGACTGTGCACGAACTGAATTCTAAATATCATCTGATCTCGTTTTTAAGTACTTTTTTGGATAATGACTTGATAACTCGTTAGGGTTAGGATTTGGGTTGGATTACTTTTGGGATTAGGTTTAGGAGTGGGATCGGGATTAGGGCGTTGCATTTTTACTATCTCTATTTCTCTAGTGAATCGTCTTAGGGTGTGCATAATTTTTATCTGCATCTTTCTAATAAATAAACATCATTTTTTAGCCAAAATACAATGGTCTTTCAGATTGGTCACCCCGATGTCTCTTGTGCGTCCGGGCTACCTGGATCTCTGTTCTTTAACTTGGCCACTGTTTTTTTATGACATAATGTTATGACATACAACTTAGCAATTTAGTTGATAGTTCTGTTTTTTGATCGTACTGGTGAAATTTCCCTCTAAACATTCAGCAAACATTTTTAATTATTTGTTAAACTACTTATATTGGAGGCTAGTAGCTAAACTTATAACATCAAAATATTTTGACGATATAAGCATGAGACCATTAGTCAAACCTCTTTCTTGTGCATTTGAACTAAAATTCTGTTTTCTGAGTATTTTATAATGCATAGTAAATCCAAACTTTATATGATTTAAATGAAGTTTGACAGACCCAGTATATCCTCAGGTAAAAGGGGAATTTCCTGTATCCCACAAAGAACTGGGAATTGGGTTTGCCATATGAATCAGATGTGAACATCAGACAGAAAACATAATTTTAGTAACATTTGAACAGAATCACCAAACATCTTGTAACAGAATGATTTATCGGAAAATGCCTCCTGAACAATCCAATTACAGTATTGATACTTATTTGGGGTTTCCAAATAACTCAGTACTTTTACAATTAAAAGTGTTCTCTGAGCTGGTTGGTTTAGTCGCGAAGCTTTCGTCGTCCTTCCGGACAACATCTTCAGCACAATATTTAGCACAAAGTGAAATGATTTAAATTTATTCATGAGTAGTATAATTGTGTCTCCTGGTAACCATCTTTACATATGTATTAACCATTTTCTATTGACTTGGATTTTAAACTTTTTGGTCACCTGATTTACTTTTTATTAATTGGTATATTTCATCTATATTAACGTGTTTGTTAATCGCATTTTCGCTTGAGTACCAAGCTTTTAGGAATTCCCTGGCGCTTTTGGTGTTTTCTCTGTCTAAGATTTTGACATTATCCCAATCAAATTGATGACCATAATTGTCTATGTGCATTGAGATTAAAGAATGCATATCGTGTCTTTTCGCGGCTGATTTGTGTTCGTGGATTCTGATTCGAAGGGGACGCCCACTTTGGCCGATGTAATGTTTGTTGCAGTCCATACAATTTATTTTGTAGATGGTATTAATTTTATCCCCTTTTTCTGTTGGATCTTTTGGTTTGCATAATATCGAATTAAGCGATTTTACTGGTTTGTGTGCTATATCTATATCTAACGGTTTCAGTATTCTGGCTGTTATTTCAGAGATATTCCTCATGTATGGTAGAATGAATTTTCTTGTGGTCTTTGATGATGGTTTCTTGTTGGTGTTTTGATTCGACTTTAAACACTTTTTGATGAAATTTTGTGGATATCCATTCTTTTTGAAGACCATTTGTAGGCGTTTTTCTTCCATTCTTTTCAGCTCTGGAGTGCGACAATGTGTCTGAACTCTTTTAAACAATGTCTGCACACAGTTTTGTTTGTGAGTAACTGGATTATTGCTAGTATAGTTGAGTATTTGATCTGTGTGCTT